GTGCATTAAAGCTGTTTCTCCTTTCTGCTTGATAAGGTTTTACACATTGGTTACGGTATCTGACCGTCGGTGGTTCAGTGGTAGAATGCTCGCCTCCACGCGGGCGGCCCGGGTTCGATTCCCGGCCGATGCACCACATTCACATCCTCACAATCATTTATTGTCCAAATATCATAGCAACGTATCAACTAACAAAATCTAGTATGCAAACAAGCACAATTCAAAGAGGCATAAGCAAAACCCTGAAAAGTCCCTTGACGATGCATGAAGTCATGGCTTTTATAAGAACTGTGGCTCCGCCCCTTCTTTATCGCTTCTCGCGACAATACCGCAAAGTCACCATATTTACCAAGGAACCAGTGGCGGTCCCAGAATTTCGGGCCGGGTGGGGGGGGGGGGGACGACAAAAATTTTTTTTCAAAAGCTTTTTGGTATGCTTCGCAACATTTTTGTGGGCCCCTAACCCCGAAATTTCAAAAAAGGGGGGTTTTTATGGGGTTAATTTGAATTTTTAAAAATTCAAAAAGTTATTTTGATTGTTTGCAAAAATCAACAAGTCACTTGCACATCTTTATAACCCACGTAAGTGAATTTCAAAAATTTCGCGACCCATTCTCGGGGGGAGGGGCACGTGAGCTAGTGAGAAATCCGTAAAGTTGTTGCAAACAAAGATACAAAGATTTCCAATTTTGCGAGCTTCCAATGCATTGATTTCAGCTCCTGTTGAAGTGGATCGAAGCTTCTCCAAAATTTTACATGTTATCTTGCCTTGCTTTATTAAGTGGTATCCTGAAACATGAACGATTAAAAATAGATTGCATATGACTTACTGCAATGAAAGAACAGTGTAGCATTTTTAGCGACTTTTTGACCAACACTTGTGGTGAAAACACAACTGGTGAACGATTCTGTTTTTACAACATCCTTACTGACAGTATCAAAACGCAGATTCGAGCCAGACTCTACAAGTGGTACTTATAACATATATCCTGCTCGCACGGCAATATAAATTGAAAACACTTCTTCAAACTCGGCATTATTAGTATCTTGGAACGTTTCACGAATTTGCATGTCATTCTTGCGCAGGGGCCATGCTAAACTTTCCGTATTGTTTCAATTTTAGCGTATATCCAAGAATGAACGTTCGCTTCCGTTGCAATCATGGCCAAAAAAGTGCATGCAACGGAGCTTTGATGTTGTTTGCGGGTGATTGAGGCCCTACAAAAATGCAATAGAATCTGTTCGAACTACAACTAGAAAAAGCATCAGAGATACTGTTAACAATAAGCAAAATCCATTTTGAAAAAAGAAAGTTGGGGAGGAGGTGGGGGGGAAGAATAAAAATTGATCTGAAAAAAAAAGCCCAAAATGCATGTTAATTTCGCCCCAACCTAACAAAAGCACCTGCCTGGGCACAGCATTATACGGTTGGTAGTTCGTTTCTGCCGATTTCATCGTGTCTTTCAGATTTTTGCTTACTGCAAATTAAGTGATGATTGCAGAACGTACGTACATCTGCTACTGTTGAAAGATCTATTGTATATTTAGCATCTAGACGAGCATTCCAGTGAATTAGAAGATGCGCCTTACGAACTAATACGTTGATGATAGCGTCGATGGTGCGTGGCACCCTGATTTGTGATTATTTGCCCAACCGTTCCAATTTGTGTTCACATAATTATTCAGGCTCGGGAGTTCTTCATGCTGGCCCCGTCCCGCAAACTCTGACCACTCCGTTGTTCGCAAAACATTTTTTGGTCTTCAGCGTAGAAGAGGTCAAAGATGACTACGGAACCTCAAGCGACCAAAAACAAGGACCCATCTCGGTCAGACAAGCTCCATTCCTTGGTGGCAAGCACCGTCATTCTCCGAAGTTGTCGAAATTTGTATGAATTTTTAGAAAAAAAAACAATTTCCAGCATTTTTGTCGAACAGGCGGAGCTGTCCCGCTCACTTCCATGATCATACTTCATGCACGATGCGTGCAGCCAAGCTTAGAAAGGCACAGAAACTTTTCATTCACAGTAATAGCCAAGAAAATTGGCTCGTCAATATTTCAACGGTGTTATCTAGATTTCGTACACTCTGAATCGAAATATGCGATGCATCGCGAATTTTGGTGAACTGTGTCGATGTTGCATTTATTTTTCGCAAACTACGAACTTGAATTTTTATGAAAAACAACATGCCAAGCAGCAAGGAAACTCAGTACTCAATCTAATGTGCTTACACTTACAATTTCTGCCTTGCAATAATTGGTCTCAAAAGTTATTGACCTACTTCCAGATCGTGCACTTTCACAACTGGATGTAAGTTGAACTTGCAAAGTTGTACACGGCAGCTATTAGCTTTCACTGTTGTGGCTTTGTCTTTATTTAGGTACAGAAGCAATATAAAGGGACAAGAATGAAGATAATTCAGTGCCGTTGGAGTTGTGTATCAGGTTTTTCAAAAAGTTCTGCGACTAAAGCTTCTTTTTTTATTTGCGTAATCATCCATAGTAAATGCAATGTAATTAATTCTGGATGCGCACTGATTAGGCCACTGATCACATAAATCATTTTTTCCGGGAAGTGTTTTGGCTGCGTCACGAGAAAAGCGGCGTGATATTTTACGCGCTGAAATCAAAGGAATAAATCTCGCTTGAAAAACCCTAAGGATCAAAGGAAGCTATAATAGGATATTTTGTCTAACGGATACGAAGGGCGTGGCATGGACCCTTAATCAGATTTATTAGAGTTTTTCGGATCTTTGATCTGTCTAAAGTGTGTCTTCTTACAGCCTTTGAAGCAATGGGTTACTTTTCATTTCGGAGTATCTGTCCTTCATTAGCAAACTGCCGAGAATCTTTGAACAGCCTGTTAGGCGGGGTTGCTATGGTAATTCTATTTTTCGAGAGGGAAGACAGTAAGATTCTTTTAAGTCAAAACCACGGAAAAGAACGCAGGATTTGAATTGAAAAGAAGATGTCAGTTGAGTCGAATACTTTGTGATTTCCATCAAAAGAGAGCTGTGCAGAAAACTCATCGAGTTAAAAGTGAAAACTTCAACATCGAAAGTCATTTTTTATTGTCTCAAATTTCTTTACCATTTCCACCTCTCGCGATAAGTCATATTCTTCTTGCTCTCTAAAAAAGTGCGGTATTATACGATAGAGCAAAGCAAGCCTTACAAGGCAACCAAACATTTGCACAAAGTTTAATCGACGTAATGTCGAATAAAAAGTCTAAAAGCATTCAAGTATACGGAAAAATCGTGAAAAAAAATCTTACGTGGAACAAACTTTGTGCAAATGTTTGGCATCAACTCGTGGAGCTTGTTTTGCTACCGAAAAATTACAAAAAACACTTGAAGAGCATCATAAACAGCACTTATTGCGGGAGAAATGGGATAAAGCTTGAGTGTCTGTTTGAGTTATGTACATAGGTACCAGTGGCGTACCGAGGGGGGGGGGGGGAGGGCGGGGGGGGGGCGCCCCCCCCCCCGAGAACGGGTCGCGAAATTTTTGAAAGCTGCCTATAAGGGCTATAAAAATGTGCAAATGACTTGTTTATACTTGTAAATAATTAAAATAATTTTTAAAAATTTTTAAAAATTCAAATTAGCCTTATAAAAAAAATTTTTTTCGGGGGCGTGGCCAGGGCCCGGCACAGATCGTCTAGAAGCAGGCTGGACTTCGTTTTTGGGATCAAAAAGCAAAGGGGATCTCGTTTTTGACGAGTCGGAACCGAACACCAAGAATAAGCGCCGTTTAGTCGAATAGAAGCTTTTCGGACAGGTTATGACACGGTTGACATGCTCTATCGTGTTTGGCGAAAAGTGCGCGCGATTTGAAAGCAGGGTAAAATCAACAAATTGCTTGTTTACAGCGCACACAGAATCATATGACACCAAAATTGAACTGTGTGTATAGAAAATTATTTGCGGAAGAACTATGTAAAAATATTTGAAAACTTAGGTGAAGAAATACGTTTTCCAAAATTAGATCGTCTCCAGACGGCCACCAGACGATCTGAGATCGTCTGGAGCATATATTTTCGTCACTTCACATAAGTTTCGGATCTTTCCAGCATGGACGAATGCCCCGGTCAAAAATCTATCCCTGAGCAAAAAAACATTTTTATATTACCCCCTGTCCGTCCTTTTTTATCCTCTTTTTTTGAAAAGCGCCATGTTAGTTGTCGTGCTCCATGGCCCATTCCGCGTTGCGGTGAGCGAAATTTTAATCGCTTGGTCGCTTTGCTGCAAACACTGTTTCCTTCGTCTTTTCTTGTCGTTCTACTTTCGTTCGTACTCGTTCTTGGTTCTTCGTTCTTATCGATGTAAGATACAGTCGCTTCATTTCATATGATCATGTGTGCCATTGCACACACAGTCCACTTTGGCGTCCTCGTCCTGGATTTGCAATCGCAAAAACGCAAGAGACTTAACGATTGTTATCGATTACATCAATATGAGGTGACTGGTAACTAAAAAGGAAAGAAAATGCTAAGAACACCTTGGAAACACTTACCTGAAGGCTTGTTTCTCCCAAAAACCCAGGATGGGGACGCCAAAGGTGAACTGTGTGTGCAATGACACACATGATCATATGAAATGAAGCGACTGTATGTTGCACTTATGCTATTTCGAACAATACTAGGTATCGGTTTCAGGCTCTAACTTCACCATGTTTCGGCTGCGAGATTATACCGATTACTATTGGGGAGTCGGTGTCAATGACTTCGATTTCTAGTTCGATGCACATGAGTATCCTGATGAGAAAGAGTTTGGATATAAGGAGCTGCCTGGTTTCTTGGGAAATCCGCTTTACAAGCATCCTAAGGCTTTCCTCAACATCGATTACGACAAGACGTGAGTGGTTTTTCAGTTATTTTGTTTTTCTTCATTTTGAAGGTTCACGTTTCTTTTCTAAACTTTGACCAATTTTGGGATTCTTTAGAGTCACTGTTCGCAAATTTTCGTTGATGGTATTGACAAACACCTCATGAGATGGCAGAATGAACTTGATGCTCAAGTGGAGAGTTATTGTTGATAGGTAAGGTCTTTTTACTTGTTCTCATCAGTTTATTAACTTCTCACATTCCATGAAACTCCGTTGCAGATATTCAAACCTCAATCCCAGTGTCTGGAACGTCAGCGCAATGTTTGCAGATCAAATGCTCAGCTTGAAAAAGTTAAACTGGCAGGTTGGTCAACATTTTCAAGCCATAAGGTTCTTTCTTCAAACTTCGCAATGATAAATTCATTGACTCACCTTATGGCGAATTCTTCTCCTTGCAGACATGTATGTGGACCTATTCTGTATGGCAATCAAAACGCATACTATGAGTGGTGATTTTACGGGTAAGAACCAGGTGAGCTTTACTCTCGGTATCCTTTTGAGATAATTTTACGATTGTTTTTTTTTTCAAGAAGTGGCTTCTTTGAGATTTATGGCGGAAAGGTTGGTCTGCTTTTTCCAAAGACCTGAGAGCCCTGCTTTGCCTATAAGCTGCCATTGCAGGTGTTTGACCTTCTGAAGCAAAAAGCTTTATTGCGAGTTCTTGAAGATGGCAAAAAAGAAGTACAAGTTGTTGGACTGAAAGAGGTTCCTGTGAAGTGCGAAAACGATGTGAGTTCTCCTTTGATTGTTTTTTTTTGAAAATCTTTCTTAACTCACTGAACTTGAACAGCTTTTTTATTACCACATTGTGCTTAGGTTCTTGATCTGATCCGGCAGGGCACGGATATGCGCACTGCAGGAGCAACATCTGCAAATTCCAATTCGAGCAGATCCCATGCCGTCTTTCAAATAGTTTCGAGGAGGTATGGTTACGCAAATCAGCTGTAGTTACCCCTTATTTACACATTTTTAGGGGCAATAAATTATGGGGAAAGTTTTCGCTGATAGATTCAGCGGGTAACCAACGTGGTTAGGATACCGGTAATTTTGATAGACAAACCCGAATGGAAGGTGCAGAAATCAAGAAGTCGCTGCTTCCTTTGAAGGTAAAGTACCTACATCATGTTGTTGCAAAGACGTTGTGATTTGATTTTCGTACTTCAGTTTTTATTGCTATCTATTATTGTTTTAGGAATGTATTGGAGCCACGGCCAAGAATAGCCAACATGTGCCATTCCGAACCCTTTAAACTAACATTGGTGTTACGGGATTCGTTTATTGAAGAAAAAGCGCGCACTTGTATGGTAAGTGCATTCTACTTTTACTCAATTGGGAAAGTTGAGGCCATGCGAATTAATTGTTTTTCTCAAGATTGCCATGATTAGTCCGGGTATGGTATAGGATGCTGATATTTCGCTTGTTTGGGGTAGAAATGTTAGTTGTAGATTGTATGGTATATGAACCGATAAAACATTTGACATGATGAAAATCGTATCGAGTCTCACAGCTGTTGAAGAAGAAGCCCTTTATAGCCCTTTATAGAAAGAACTGAGCAATTTGATCACTCGTTCAGGCACTGTGGATTACGGTCAGGGAAAATACGTGCGCGACGCTGTTGATTTCAGCAATAAGATGTTCGGCGGATTGTCGGAATGCACGGGCAAGTATTTTTGTGGCTGGGAGCCTTTTTTTCAAGTGAGTATATCCTATTCTGCTGGTTTTTCTGGAGAATTCTTGAGATATAATCACTACTTAGAGGTAATACTTTTGAATATTGATGATTTCTCAAAAAAATACTTAGCTGGATCTTTTCGTTTTTTTCTCCAGATCGACTAAAGAAATGGCAAGAGCTATAAGTGGCAGAAGCAGAGATCCAAAAAGCAACAAGAAATAAAAATCCCCATCGTTAGCGCTTATCAAGTCCATATCCACTCATAACTTCTGAATGCCATGTTTGTGCTCGTTTGAGATCTTCCTTATGTGCACTTCATCTAGCTTATATTACGCGTTTTTCATGCTTTGTCGGGTTGATTGTGAAACTTCCGCTACTTTACATTCTGTGTTATAGTAATCGTATACTAACTGATGTGCAAAAAGATTGGTTTTAAGAAATGCTTTTCTAACGGTATTCATTGCGCATCTTGCAAAACTGAATTGGGAGCGTAACCTTCTCTATTCTAATTTTATACTAATTTCTGTAACTCCACGCATGTAGCATCAACTATCGTATGGCTTTCACAATTTGAAGTTTTCCAATAATTTATTGTAGCTTTGATTGTTGCCTCCTGTTTGGCAGATTCCTCGTGGACATGTGCCACTTATTATGCTGTTTTGAGGGAATTCTGCCAATAAAGTTGGTAGGTGCTGACTATCAATTGTTTCAAATAATGGTTTGTCGAGGAAGTCATCTTGTAGATTTTATATGGATAAATCGCACCTTCTTTTCTGATTCTGCTTCGGTCTTTGAACAGTAATGCCAAAGAAGTAAACGACATAACAAACGATCTATAAATTTTTGTGCGAAGCAATTTTTTTTTCTTAGCAATGCATTCAACAGACATAGAGCGTTAAGTGATCTTACTGCTTGCAATGGCATTGATAATTAGGCGCTATAGGAGAAGCAAAGCCCCCTCCAGGTATATACAAATGTTTCCGATTTTGAAAAGTGAAGAGGTTAACTGAATTGCAAAAGACGTTAGCTTACATTTCGAACGGAACGAGGCGTGAACTGGAGGAGAAAAGTGGTACAGAGATTTGATGTGGAAAATTTTGCAATACGGCACCAGAGGTCGTCGAACAGAGTGTTTCGATGCGGGTAGGCGTTATGTCCCACCAGACAATAACACAGTCGGAGTGGAACGTATATAATCGACGGGAGTGTCGATAGACTGTCTCTTTTTTAGCTTTCTCAAAATTCACAGGCAAGAAAGTTCATCTAGCTGCAACATTCAGCTAATTTCTGAAAGGAAGATAAAAGGTGAAAAAAGAATCGGTCTACGTCTACTGGCAAAGTCTTTTCTTTGAAACAGTTTGACAGTTAGGCAATCTTATTCATTTTTCGGAAATCTCCTGCATGAACATGCATCTTTTCAAATAAAATACCATGTATCCCTGATAAGAGCGGTGCTTGATCGTTCCTTGAGCTTTCTGACGGTGTATAGATTGTCAAACGAAATTGAGTGTCAGTGTAACGAAGATTGTCAAAGATTATAGATTGTGAGACGAACTTTTGTTTGCTTCTCGGTGGAAGGTTGGGGGGGGGGGTAGGGGCAAGGGTCAAAGGGGACTTCGTAAAATTTTCGAAAGTCAGGGGGGACTTCGTTTTCAAAAAGCTTAGAAACGGACTCGTGCCGGGCCCTGGGCGTGGCTGACGCCACGCCCCCTTTTTCCAGATTTTAGGGGTTGGGGACCCGCAAAAATTTTGAGAGGCACCCCTAAAATTTTTTCGGAGTGCGTGGCTGACGCCACGCACCTTCATTCGAAAAAAATTTTTGTCGCGCCCCACCCGAGCGGAAATCCTGGGTACGCCACTGATAGGTACATATGTGTGTCTGTCTTTATGTATGTTCCAAATAGAAATTTAGTTCTGAACCGATCCGGACCAAACTTTGCACACATACACTTCGGAGCGGGGAGAGAGTGTCACAGACTCTTTTCATCTCAGCTAAAATTGATTTTTATTGATTTTTCAAATAGCCTGAGCTACGACGCTGGGAGTTGGCACAGGGCGTTAGTGAGCATGCTGATTGCGACTATATTGGGTGGGTACGAAAGTTCGTGCCGTTTACCAAACCCATGCAACCCTTGAAATAATGGACAAACCCTCTAAAAGTGTCCGATGCAAAAAAACCTTTTTTATCGGTCATGTTTTCGTTCAGATTCCTTTGATGTCCCTTGAATAATCGTCGGAATTTCCAATTTATGGTTTTCCCCATCCTGAATTTGGCTATTTTTTGAAACTTTTGTTTAAACTTTTAGGCTAGCTTCGATGATAGTTGGATAGGATAGAATAAATTCTTTTCAAAACTTTTGAAAATGTTTTTCTGACGCTATAAAACTCTATATTTGGGCATCTCAACCCTCTCAGAACAATAAATGGAAAACAACCAGGGTGTCATTCGATTATACAGCTTCTTCTGCTCTTTCTGACAGACTTCTTTACTTCTTGATTTATTTATCATTTGGGGAAAAATTATTATTGTTGTTTTCAGCCTTGTCCCAGGCTGTACCCAGAAAATTTGGAATCCAATATATGAACCGCTAAACGCTCAGTTGCTTGCTAAAAATAGCGTTAAGTCATAAGCTGCTTTCATTCTAAAGTTTTGTCAGTGTGTGAAGCGATTGTGTAATTCGCTACTTCACGAAAGTAAAGATTTATGAAAAAATTATTTAAGAAGTACTCAAAGTCAGCTACCCATGCCGAAAATTAGGTCCTGTAGCATTTTGTTTATTTTATCGTATTGAGAATAGCGTTCACAAAAGAATTAAACAAGCTGAGCGACAAGCCGAGGTCAAATCGAATTCATTGTACGATTGTGCCCTTTACTGCGGATGAGATTTACGAGGTTTTTTCGAAGCTTTGCAATTTTTGCAAGATTGTCACGAATCCGTTAGCAGCATGCAAATGAGACAATGCGGCTATGAATTATAAATTAGCTTACAGCGTAAATTGAATGAAGTTCCACTGCATCATTGCTGTAAGTCGCACCTAGTCTATTGAGCATTGCTAATTGAATTTTCAGGCGTTTATGTCTTCTTCTTCCTGAGGGGCTGGTGGTTAAATTATATCCAGAGAAATCATGTCATAGCAAGGCACCGTATCAAGGCTCCAAAAGATCCAGATCAAGCTCTCACCCTTGCTATGTTGCTAGAATCTCGAACAAGAAATAGAAGATACAAATTGCGTTTGGTTGGTTTAGGAACAAAACTTTTATATTTCATTTCAGAAGTATTTTCCATTGCAGCATGTCAGGACGACGTCTGCTTTATATAAAAACTTCGAATTTCTGTCATTCCAGGTCCCCAACGATGACCTGGGGACAGCTAAAAAGTTTGCTGTCCTTTTCCTGTTAGCATCGAAGACTACACCGTTTAAGAAGACACATACTTGTAATTATGGCTCCAGCATCGCTGTACGTGCCACCTCCAAGCGAACAAACTCTTCAGGGTTGTCAAAGTTCGCTTGACTAAGGTAAAAAGCGACGGAGATTACTGATTGTTCGGATATATGTAAAGAAAAGTTATAACAGGAGCATTTGACGATGGGTAGGTGATGTGGGGTTCAATTTTTTAGAGCACCAATTTTCACTGATTGTTTCTATTCGTTCACTGTTTGCTTCTGATTGCTTTTCACAGAGAAGAAAATAGTCTAAATTAGTGAAGCTCAATCGGCTGCGGAATCAAATGAAAGATTCATCTGGGTTTGTCTAACAATAAAATAAACCGAAATATGGAAGCAAAAAAGGTGCTTATGCATAAAGTACTCATTACTTCACTAAATTCAAAGGAAGTTCGAAGGCTGTGATCAAACCTGGATTTCAAAGAACCTTTGTGTTGTAAACTATTTATGATTACTGGTAATGTAAAAAAAAACTATCCATCCTGAGCAATAAGAGGGAATTTGTACGGCACCATAACGATTGGATTTCGAAGATATTTTGTAAAGTATTTACGCGAAAGTACTAGGTTGCCACATAAGTTTTGCAACTTTTCCCGTAACTTTTTCCCTATTTTATGTAGCAATCTCATTTTGTGGCATCATGTAGATCGTAATGTAAGCTGCAAGTTTTCGCAAACCGTTTGATTTTTGATAACGTAGTACAAAAAATCTAAGCATTTTTTAAAAACTGCTGAAAATTGAGGTTTCACGATTTTTTGGCAAACATGAGGACCTACGAAACCTGATTCAAACATATGAATAAGCAATTATGGGCAGCATGTAGCTGGAAGTTGGCACATTGGAATCAGTGAAAAAGAAATGAAATTTTAACACAAATTAAGGTGGGGTGCCTTTGAGAAGTTGAACAAGTCAAAT